CACATTTTATCATTCTGCTGCCTTCAAACTCTACATTCCCATTTATTTCCGTGCCTCTCTCTCGCTGCAGCCATCTCACAGTACATAAATGCCAGGCGGGGAGTGAAGGAGCAGGGGTGCCTCTAAACCCAAACAGACAGATAGATTTGGACTGCTTATTGAATCCATTTGTCTTTGGATTGGCACTAATGAAAGAGCTATTAGGTCGAGAAACACATTTAGGCTGCTGCATATGTGTGTGTCTGCCATTGTGTCTGTGAGGAAAAAAAGACGGTGTGCAAAGAATGATGGGATACCTGCACATAGGTCTCTGGAGAACGATGACTTTAAAAACAATATTATTCCCGTGGAGCTCTTTTAAAAGGTCCTCTGGTGTTTTTAGTATATATATTGGTAAATCATTGTATTTTTATTGTTTATTCTGATATATATCCTGATATTCTACAACAGACAAAAACAGCCTTTTTGCTTATTTTAGTAGATTATTAATGCCAAAGACCCTAGTCAAATGAACACAAAAGTTAAAGTAATAACACAACTTGTAAGCTCACAGTCACAGATGTCATTGATTGTAGTTAAATGCCAATAATATAGATACAAGAATGTACACAGTAATTCAGTTATATCTTTTTTGCTCAGAAGTCAAAATCGAAGCTAAGTACAGTTTTTTTTTAACTTGACCAAATAGTTGATGGAAACACACTAACTACTGTCCCGTTCATATCACTGATGACATTAATATACAAAATACAAACGCTTCCAAAAACAAGAGCCTCTTTTTACCTCCTGTCACTGGCAATTTGCTTTCCTCACTCTCCATCTGCTGCTCAAACTACCACCACGGTAGATAATTCAATAAACCAACCATTTGTTTCTGTGCTAATCAGTATCTACCCTGCAGATGGAATAGCATTTCAATGATTTTGTCTTGCTGCTTGTGACGAGAGTGAGGATTTTTTTTTTTTTTTGTCCAAAAATCGAATTCCCTCCAGGTCTGATGGCTGTGCAAAGTAAAATGAAGATTTGTGGCAATAAAAGATAAAACAAAAGCCAACTGCAGCTCCTGCAGCGTGTCCAAACTTTTTTCCAAGAATCAATATTTTCAAAAATAACTACAGGCCTACTACTCCTACTGTTACACCTGTTACTGCAGTTAAGAGTACAACAAATGCACTAGAACACAAAGCCTTCTGTCTCATTACATGTTCAAATTATTGATATGTTTTCAATGTTCTATTAAAAAATTGAGCCATTTGAACACAAAAATATAAACAACACATTACACAAACAAGTTTTGCATTTTAAACTGAACATTTAAACTTTATCATATTTACACACAAGACTGTTGTTAAAACAGTGACACCTGCCGGAGGTGTACACTTCAGATATCCATTCGTCCCCAGCCATACCCGTTGGTGACAGAATGGATGAACTGCCCTTATCAGATTCGACGACGGTGATTGGATATATTTCTCTTAACATGCGCACATCTCATGTCAGCAACAGGTCAGTAATTGGCTGCCCTGATGCTTTGGTTAGGAGCGAGATGAGCCGAGATTAGCCGAAAGCTATTTTCTCCCAAAATATGATTTATATTTATTTATGACAGGTTATGGTGCATTTTATATACACATTCTTAGAATACGTAATTATTGTTTTTTTAAGCCCCGAATCCCATTTATGGGCCAACCGCCGTCCTCGGTTACATTTTTAACTTCCAGATATAGCTTCAAAGCTAATGCTAAGACAAGCCTGAAGTGCTGCAAAAAAGTACACTTACCTAAAGATGTCTTCTCCAAGTTCTGTCCATAGGTTAATTTCTGTTCATTGTTCAACCAAATGTCTCCCATCAACTTTGTCAAACTCCGAACTGCTTTTTCGTCATTTTCTGTCACCTGTAGTCTCCATTGTTTCCTTTCCCTTGCTCTCCCTCTCCCTCCACTCACAGGTGTGATTAACTGTCATTTCCTCTCTGCTTCCTGCTCAGGGTCATAGGACTAATCTGTCATTTTACATGAAAAAATGGTGCTCTTATATTTGCAGGAAGCCTTTATCCTGGTTGTTAACACAAAACAATAGTGTGGATTTGTATTTCTTTAGGTTTTGGTTGTTTTTTTTTTACGTATAAACTTTCATATCAATATAACAACATAGCATAAGACCAGTGTATATTTTTCTTTTTTTTAAACAACAGAAAAATTACAAAAACTGCAAGGCACTTCTTTGACAGAGAAAGAGCAATTTCTATTAATTTCACTTGCATTACTCATATAAACCATGTCACGTGGTACAAACAATAGAAAGAGAGTTTTGTTACTTCCATACATTTTGTTTTTTAATTTGTCATACAACTCCTGATACACACTCTCATGGCCAAAATATCTAACACAGACTCACACACCTGATGTTCAGTTTAGAGCCTGACTGTAGGATAATAATCCTTTAAGGTTTCATCATCAGAAATGACAGCAGATACTGGATCCTCTGTGTTAAGTGACAATAATTAACTGTAGAGATGAAGGCAGCCGCACACGGTTACGGCTGATTTTCAACTGTGCCTTGTCAGAATTAATGTCAGAAAATAATTGAGTCATTTTCTCTCCTGTGGATAAATTCTGCTTAAAATTAAGCTTGAATTCTTTTCCTTTTGCATACTAGGAAAAGTGAATAAAATATATAAATGGTACCAAACCCTAAAAAGTTCCCATTTTTTGCCTCTAAGTGGGAAAAAAATCCACCCTGACATAGAACACAGGGGCAAATTTGATGAGCTCTATTGTCAAGTCGTTACATGATTTCACAGGGTCGCACGTTTCCCCCGGCAATCTCTTTTAACCCAACCTATTATCGCTGGTAACATCACTGATGAGCTGCTCCCGCTCCTCCTGTCTCTCTCTCTCCCTCTGTTTCTATCCCCTTCCAAAAAATGTCTCATCAAGGTCTGCATCGATGTGAGTGTGTGAAAAATTTAATTCTGCTAATTAGAGCAGCAGATTTGCCTGCTTCACCCCTCTGCCTCCCAAACCTCCCCTCATTGAGACAAATCTCTAATTAATCGCCACATTCTGCTGTTGACTATACTTCAGAGGTCGGACCTCAGTAAATGGAGGGAGGCATTTGGTTATTATACTGCAGAAACAGCATTGTTGTTTAAAAGATCTGTAGTTTTTGTGTTTGAGTGTGTGTGTCTGTGTGTGTGTATTTGGTGATTAAACCAAATTGAAAACTGCTCCAGGCGGCAATTAAGGCTGTGAGTTTAGGTACATTATGTTAAAAAAACGGTGCTCTTCCTGTCTGAATACAGTAATAACTGTTGGTTAGTGTTTGCCACAAAACATTACATGGAAAATTGACTCATCAACCACAGATTTCTTCAATTCCGACTTTTAGATTGACCAATAATAACATATTTCTCCAAAAAAAACCAACCTAGATGTTAACTACACCACTAGACTGTTAGACTTTAAAGAGTGGAAGCCTTTAAATAATTAGTAAGCAGTACTTAGCATTCAACCGACTTTTTAATGTAGGGTGTACATACACATTTTGACTTGTAACAACTGTGCCATCAAGGGGGACCTGCCCCCTACTTTGGGAAACACTATGTCACAGAAGAGCCTGTCATTGATAAGATGTGATGGAGGAAGTCAATCCACTCTGGAGACTCTCTGAAAGAATCCATATTATAACAAGTAAATAGAAATGTGACTTACAACAAATGTCTCATTTGATGTAAATATTATTTCATCTTAATATTATTAATTATATCAGGTTGTTTCTGGAGTCATAGCTGCTCATAAATAAGTTCCAGTGTGTAGTAAACATCAACAAGGCACAGCAACAACAACATACAGTAGGTATAATGCATATAAATCACACTCTCCCCAAGCCAAAATGCACAAAACACACACACACACACACACAGCGTCACCTTCTGTTTACCCCAGTGGTGCTCCTGCCCTCAGAACCCTCAGAATCTATCACAGAGCTCAGCTGACTCTGAAGCAGTGAAGCCACAATGAGACTCCAGCGGCTGCTACAATCTGTTTCCATCCTCTTTAGGTAAACATTGAGATTCTCAGGGTCCACAGCTGGAGCTTCACTGTAATGAGGCCTGAGATGAGGTGGGGGAGACTCCATCAGTGGAGCACAGTGAAAGTGGAGTCCCACAGTGTGGAGTTCTGCAGCAGGTAAGCAGGAAAGGAGACCTTTTTTATTTCGTTCATCTTCACCTTTTATCCATTTAAGGGCCACAGGAGCAGCTAGTAATAATTGCAAATATTTTGTCAAACAGAACTGTTCATTTATACTGTATATAGTGTTAACACTTCCATACTCACAAGTTATGCATTGATGATATGTTGCGTGTTGATAGTCTACAGAGAGTTCTGTATTCACGGTCTGTTCTACTGTTTATATTTATCTGTACTTGCAGTACAGATAAATATAAAGGTGAACAGTCTTTGAGTCAAATTGAAGAGTATATTTTAACGTTATTATTTAGTTATTACTCAATATATGTTTGGACTGTGAAGTGCTGGGTTGTTGAATATAAACAAATGACATATATTGCATATCTTATTGGTAGCTCAGAGAGGTAACAAGAAAGAAACTAGAGCAGGGGTCACCAACCTGGTAGCCCTTGTGGACTATTGAATGTGACTGCGGGGTATGTTCTAGAAATAAAACTATTGGCTAGTTTTATTTCTAGAACATACCCCACAGTTAAAGAGAGTTAAAATGGTTCTCCTACTGTGCTTTTTGAATCAGTTCCACTGATTTTCCACTGAGTTGGGTTCAATGATGATGGTAAGAAGAGTGTCTACTATGGTATGTCCCAGAACTGATTATTATTGTTCAGGAAGTCTGTGTAGCTCTTCATATTACTAGGTGCCCTTGAAGTAGCTCTCTAGAACTAGAACTAGAACTAGATGACCAATCAGCTCGAAGCATCTACCTGAAACGACACAAACACTGACACATTGGTAAGACAGTCAAAGTCCAAGTCCCAATTTGTTTAAGGAGCACATTTAAAAACAAACAGCAAAGTTGAACCACAGGTCTGTGCAGTAAAAATAGGACATAAAAACAACCGTAAATACAGGGAATAAAACAACAGGTGAGGGCTAAAAAGGAATAAAATAATTATCAGTTATTAGTATTAAATAACACTTGTTAAAAAAACAATAAAATCCACTCACACGGTGTTTATGGCAACAGAAAATAAAAGTGTTTTCAAATGTGGCTTCAAAACAGGAAGTGGAGACGTCTCTCTTATGTTTAATGGCAGCTGGTTTCACAAGGCAACACATTTCTAAATAATAGAAGTATCAGCCTGTACTCTGATCACTTCCAGTTACTGTCTATTCCTAAACCTTAAACCGTTACAAAACCAGAAATGGTGCTAAATAGGTCCCACACATAAGAACACCAACACACACACAGTAAGAGAAGAGAGCCAGAGAAATGTATCTAACCCAGAGGAACTCAATAGTTAGCCTTTTAGCTGCTTTGACCACGTCATCTCTGCAGCTCTTGTGCATTTTGTGGTTCTGTGCAGATAAATAAGCATCTCTGAAACTTCTGTCTCCAGTAACCTGACGTCTGCTCAATTGCTCCAATCTTTTTTTCCTTTCATTTTGTTGTAATATCTTCAAAGAGACTGAAATTTAATGAACATCAGTGTTGCCATGGCAATATGCAGAGGAATATAAAAGGCTTTGTTGCCATGGGGTTTGAAGAGTATATTGAGTTAAAAGCTCCTTAAATGCACTGTCAACACACCCCGGTCTCTGAGGACGTGGCTGGGAGCGTCTCTGTCTCTCGCTCACACAGACACACAAAGTAAATGCCATCATTCACACATTAACATCTGATCAGCCTCATACCATATTAAGGGGGGTTTAGTTCACACAGGAAAGCAAGCATCATTAAACACTACCACAAATCTGGTTACTTTTTAAGCAAAACTATTTTTACTCATGTTTAACAGTTCTTCAGATGTGAAATATTTGGGTTTTTATCTATTTTCATATTTCAGTGTTTATATTGATCTATATTCATTGTATTGATGATTTTGACGGCTCTACATCCAGTAATGTCTTACTAATAAAAGACAACTGCATGGAAAACACGTTACACACACCACTGTATACACGGCTAAAAGCTAATTATTTAATGCTAATTGCTAATGTCACTGTTACCAAACATTAGTCGGAGACAACAAGGTAATGCAAGCCCCATTGAGCTTTTCTGACCCCATGTTGTGCATTATAATTTTTCTGGGTTATGAAAAGTTCGGTGTGCTGGAGAAGTCACATTTAGGATAAAAGTTTCACAATTAAAACATTGTTAAGTTGTCAAAATGTGTTCCTTCACATGGTGGAGCTCTAACAGAAGAGAACTGTTTCTGTCAGCTGTGATCACACTCGATGGAAATAGTAGCAAATGTGGGGATAACCTGTGAAAACAAGGCAATCAGCCAGACTGACCTGAGATGGTGTGATGTCACCACTGTGTTCAACAAACACACACACACAGATACTGTACATACATACCATCTTTGCACATGAGAAAACAATATTGAAATTCCCAACAGAGTGGACAATCCTGCACAGACAATTAAATTGCATAAAAGATGGTGCAAAAAAAAAAACAACCCGATGAACAAACACACACACAGACACACACACTTCTATCAGCGGATCAACACTTGCAGCATGTGAGGGAAGCCTGGTGTAGGCGAGCAGCAAAGCTTCAGAACAGAACACAGAGTGCGATGTTTAGCAGCTTAGCATGTCGTCTTTCACGGTGCTAAATCACAAGGATTCCTCTCATGACTCAGTGGGTACGAAAGTTCTGCCACACTGTTCTCCTCAGAGGAACGTCTGTCACCTAGGTGCACGCTGCTGCCAGTGCGAAAACACACACCCTGTACCAAGACGCTAACAGTCAGTAACAATTCGGTCACAGTGGCTCGTGAACATGCTGCAGGTGCTAAACCTTTGGATCGTGATCTGAAACCTCAGGTCAGGTAACTCCTGACCTGCTTCTTCTTCTGCAGCCCATTTCAGAACTTTTGACTAAATTTTATGCCAATTTAGTCAGACGTAAGATCACTCCAAATGTTTTTCTTTTTTGGAACTAATGATTCAATCTGTTTTCTTTCATGTGCTGCTAATTATCCTCCAAGTTGCCTGCATGAACAAAAAACGCTTTCTGAGTCTTTATACTGGACTCTGGGATCATAACAGGAGGTAAATAGACCGACATTTATTGTTTTTATTTTTTAGAATCTTTTTTTTTTTACCACTGAACAATTGATTTGGATTCTCATGCTGAGTTACATGTGTATAAACAAAGTAAAATATCACCCTGGGTCACTCGTTAGACTGTTCCCTATTGCCATAACAAAATGAAATATTAAGTAATAATAAAATGACTCATCAATAAGTCATTGAGAATGTTTAAAAGTGGCAGATATAAAACTAAGATCAAACCTGTGAAGAGACACTGCCATTTTTACTGTCATCCAAACCCATTTCATTTTGACTCATTTCCCTGCGGTTCTTTGGCCTTAAATAATCCCAGTTACTCTGAGCCGCAGACATGAACTGATCTCTGTGTCAGGTCTGCTTGTAGAAGACTAACAGTGCGAGTTCTTCCACTGAGTGCCATCAAAGCGTGTCATTCTTCACACCTGAGTGACGTCCTTTAACAGCAGCACTTTACAGAAAAGGACATTTAAAGGTTCAGGAAAGGCCTCAGGTGGATGCTGGAACGTGTTCCCTGGTGTCAGTGAGTGTGTGATGGTGGAGAGGAGGAACCGCACCTTCATGTTTCTCACCTTTGACGCCTCCATCGCTCATCCTCCCTCTACACCATGGACCGACCTGTGTCCCCTGCAGAGAAGAAATGACAGTGATCATCCTTCAACGCACACATGATGGATCAGCCACGACGTGTTAAACTGCAAAACTTCAGATTTCAACACCTCCCTGTGATCTATTTCCCAGTGAGGAGGGAAGGTGTGTGGTGTCTCCTCGTCCACGCTCCTGATCTCAATTTTCACTCTTTTTTTCTGCCCACTCTTCTCTTTTTCTACCGTTTCTTTGTGTTCTTTTACTCCCTTTTACCTTCCTCATCTTCTCAAGGTTGCCAAGTGTGTTTAATAGAAACCAACCTTGAACCAGTTTTTACTGAAAATTGGCAAAAAGATATTGATATCTGTGGTTTGTGGTTTTCTGTGTTCTTGACTTTTCTTATTGAGGCTTTACTCCTGTTTGTCAAACCTGTGTTGACTAAATAAAAATCTCTGGTTGCAGCGTACTCTCAACAACAGCAGTACAGAAAAGTCAGCAATGAATTTGAAAAATATGGAAAGTCAACACACACACCCAGGTTGTTGAACACCTTCCTTTTCAAACACTTTGCTTCACGAACAGAAAAATTGAAAAACAACAGAAGTGAACAAAAATTATACGAAAGCATGAGAATGGTGCTCGTGTTTTAGATCTGGCTGTTCAGTACGGCTTAGCAAAGTTGTCAATTTGTACCATCATTAGGAACAAGGAAGTAATAACAGAAGCTAAGGTTGCCAAAGGAGTGACTGTGATCATCAAGCAAAGATCAAAGACGTTAGAAGTGGAGAAGTTTCTACTGATTTGGATCAATGATCGTTGGCCAGCGACAGTATATGGGAGACAACAATTAGTGAGAAAGCAAAGCGAACATGGCGCAATCACAACTCCTCAGCTCAGTTAAGGACGAATGAATTTGACATTCATATATATAGCTTTATTCTTTAGTCAGTTGTGTCTATCTTTTTTGTTAGATCGAATTATTTTCGTTGGTATTGTGTGTTAACTACACAAAATAAAGGTAGAAAACGTTTGAATAAGTATCATTTGGGGTTCAGGAACGGATTCATCCATTTTACATTGATTCCTATGGGAAAACTGTTTCAGTTTTCAAACTGAATTCATTCCTAAAGGCCGTCGATGAACAGAAAAGTTCAAAAACTGAAACCGAGTACTGTATATACATACCTAAATATACTCTTTCTTTTCATGGTCCCTGGCTATGTGTCGAGAGAAGAAGGAAGAACAGAGGTAATAACAGGGATCAGTGTTGAGGGTCAGTGGTTTCTGTCTCAGAGCAAACCACAGACAATGTTTCAGTCTTTAAAAAAATAAAAGATTGTCAGGAAGGATGGAAGACAAGCTTCATGTGCAACACCTTGATACGTTGTATTTAGCTGTAATTTCTCTAAAGCCATTTTATACCATTGCCATGCTAATCAGGAGCTACTTTTGATACTAACCTTTTTATAACACTACACTAATTTAACTTTTAGTGGTCTTTACATTTGTTTTTTCTTGTTTAATTTTGGCTTTTTTCATCAGCCTTCATTGTCAGTGATGTCATACCCTCACCCTCACTACCTCTCACCAGCCCTCACCTCGCACTCCCTCCCCTGCTGTGGTTCCAGCAGCACTTGCAGGTGTTCAGATCAAGCTTCCAGAAGATGAAACCAGCACCATGGGTTATGGTGAAAGGCTGTGATAGCTGTGAGAGTCAGGGCAGAGCAGAGAGGAGCAGAGAACACTTCAGCATCTGATGGGTTGTGAAGACGGAGAGAGGAGGGAGCCTGCAGGTACAACAAACAAAGTCAAAGTGAAGGGGGAAGACAAAGAAGAGCTCTGGGTCATGTATAGAGATATAGGATTTATACAGGACCAGGTGGGAAGACCAAACTGTAATTTTCAAGATAAAAAAAAATAGCAGCTAAACTGCAGTTAAATCCAGCACTTTAATTAGTTCAGAAGAAGCTAGTTGGTTACAAATAGTTTGTTTTCCATTTGTATGACATGGGTAAAAACATCCTGGCCAAGTTGCTTTCACAGTCTGTGATCAGACACTAATGTGTGTTGTGAACATAAGCAGATCTGACAGAGGTTCTTCAGTCTCTGAAGAACATCTGCTGCTGCTTCTCCACACTAAGCACATGCTAATCTTGGGTTTTTCCATTAGAGAGCAGCTTCCTGAAGGACCTGTTGGTGCTCCACACCGCTCCTTATCACCACAGCCAACATATGTCCTGATGCCAAGCCAGGGGTTTGTGTGTGTGTGTGTGTGTGTGTGTGTATGTGTGTACTGATAGGGGCTCTGCTTATACACTGACCTTGTTTAAACCACAGCTCCTGTCTCCTTGATGTTTTCCACGGAAAGGTAAAAACCCAGGCTGTTTTGTTGTCACAGTAAGCCTATAGAAGAACATCCATACATTCACAGAGGAGAACAAAGCAAAGGACAAAGAAGAGGATATGATATGATACATGGATAATGGAGTCAAATGTTGACTGGGGCTGACATGAGGACAGTCTTTATCCAGGACACAGTCCTTGTCCCAGAGAAGACTTCCAGGACAAGGACCAGAATCTTTGTGTCCATCTAATCTGTGGGTTGGAAATCTAGGTTTCATTCCCAAACTTCCTCTCTTGATGCTGAAGTACCATCATGAGCATTAGTCAACCAAAGACAGGTCTGGTATTATTCAAAACTATGGCCGGCAGGCTGGAAATGGCCCACTGGGCTTTTTACTGGCCCATTATATATCGATACCAAATTTTTAATACGCACTACAGGCTATTTAACCAAAGGCTTTAAATCACACTAAATATTGAAATAACCTGTTTAAAAATGTATTGTGACAACATGTGAAGTATTGTGAAGAAATGTATAACCCTGCGACAGATATTGAGCAGAAAATCACACATCAGTTCCCTGGTCGGGGTTTGGGGACAGTTCTGGTACTGTTCAGACACAAAGGAACTTCTGTAGTTTTTGGCTGTGCACCTGGAGCTGAGCCTGTGGCTGAAAATGTTCCTCTTTATCATCAGAGGCAGTGAGAGGAACTCCAACTTGTCTTGTGTTACAATTTCAGTTTTTTACTTTTTTTTGGCCATAGTACTGTATATACAACAACTTTTTTGACTGAGCTACACAACATTATGATGTACAAAAAAGTATACTTTTTTTTTAAACTTCTGTTGTTTGTAACACTTGGTTTTCATAGTAATTAATGTTAAAGATGATTAAAGGTCAATTATCCATTTTGTGTGACATAAATAGAAATAAAAACTAAAAAAAAAACCCTTACATTTCAGTTCAGAACCGTTCAATACATACAATTAAGACGTTTGCCTTGGATGAACAATGTACAGAAACCACGTGGCCACATCCTTTAAAGAAGTTTCCTGGTCCACAGACAGTCAGGGTGTCGGTTGTCTCCACTCCTGCAGTTTGTCCCTGTACAAAGGCAGAGGGAGAGAGAGTGCAAGAGAAGAAAAGCCTACAGTGTTAAATATTCACATGAAGAAATAGTTCCTCTAGCAAATCCCTTGAGACCCTGTCTGTGTCCTTAGGTCGGCTCTGGTGGATAAACTCCAGTGGAGAGGTGACTCCAGATTATTTCCCACTTTTCCATTGCTGACCTACATATAAAAATGTAAAAATTGTGGATGAGTATTTGCACTGGAGGGTCAATGTGTATTACTGTATGTGTGCCGAGTACTCACTCTCATAGATTGACTTACTCTGCAAGTATTTTCACTTAGCTCATTTATGTAATACATTTAATATAGATTACTATCACTCAGACGTATGCTGAATTTAAAGTTTGTAGGAGCATGCGCAATTGGGTGATTTTATCACAGGAAAAAACCGCCTCAATCTTGATTAATTTACAGGGTTTTTTTTAAAGCTATCTTTACATGTGTGCGTACATGCCACACAGGGACTACACGTTAGCGAAAATCGTTAAATCAAAGTACATTCGTGGATTTGTCAATGATGATGTCAATTTACCTCCGACTGTTAAACACGCGAGTGAACGGCATTCTAGAAGTTTGTATATACAACATTTGCCGTATTAACAGTTAGAATTAATGAAACGTACAACTTATACACGAAATGTACTTACGCTTTCCAAGGGTGTACTGATTTTAACGGCTTGGATACGTGATTGTGTATTCCAGCGTTTTTTCTATCATACGCATGCGCATGAGATAAAGCATACAAGAGAGAACTTTATTAACAACTGAATCAACCTGTTCATTCACGCACACACGCGCGCCTCTCTTTATATACCCTCCACTGCATTTAAATTACCTCATCAACACTCCACTGTATGTTCCTAGCACATGCATGGATGCATTAATGTTCAATGGCACGTAGTCACACATAAAAAGCTTATTATTGCAGCCAGGTTGCATAATGGCAGTGACACACACAACCACACACTCGAGTTTACAGTTGGTCCCTCTTCTTCTTTGGTGCGACACTGATAGATAAGGGCTGCCTGCTGACTCAGGCAAGGACAGAAATAAACACAGTGCAGATATTGAGGCAGGAGAACACTTCAGCTGCTCCCTGGTCCACACTCGATTTCTATCCAGATAACTTCTATAACCCAGACCAGCAACGTCCACAGACACAGTCAACTGAAGTGCTAATCATCATCATTTAAGTTACATTTGGTTACTTTTTTTAAAAAATGGTTCTCTCGTCTATCAAAACGAGTGCAGTTGCTAATTTCAGCCAGTAGAGAACAAATCGTATGTCTGCCCTCCATTGGCTGAAAAGAGCAACTACATATATTAAAATATTCCTGCCCAAAACGTTAATGAGTGTGACGTGGAGTGACTTACAGAAACCCTTGACTGGAGATTCATTAGCCCTCTGGCGAGCTACTTAGAAAGGGGTGGTGAGCTACTGGTAGCTTGCAAGCAACGTGTTGGAGACCCCTGCTGTAACACACCCCATGATCTGGGCTAAACTACCAATCCTGCTCTGTAGGCCACAACCCAGAGACAAATAATAGCCACAAAACTCATCTCAGTAAAGTTGAAAAAAACAAACAAACAAAAAACAAACAAACAACACATTTATTTGACACTGTCTTTGTAGGAACTTCCTGATCTTTCTTCTTTAGGTTTGCAGTCTGTAAAACCTAGTTCATTCATTGGCAGAGAACAGCGTTTATCATTTTCACAACTCAACCATTTAATTCAAGTTTTCTAAGACCTTCTAGAACGATTGTTCCATGAGTGAGCATAGTCTTCAACCACTAGGGGGAATACATACTACAATATATCATATATATGCATGAGCTTCTGAAGTACACACTAGACACTCATTGGCCAAACAGCAGCTTCTCTTCAAGTCATCATTAAAAACATACATTTGCAGCAAAATGTTTGTTGCGTTTAAGACCAGCTCAGACATGTTAAGTTGAACAGATATCCAGACTGTAGTGAACATCTCCATGTACTGAGGCTCAGTCTCACCAGAACAGGTTTTACAAACTCACTCTATTGGCCATACTGCGTTTTAAGTTAAAACACTACATGATGTAAGTTCATCAGAATTTGGCCTTGGTTTTTCAGGTTAAAGGCTGGAATGTTTACATTTTCTATCAAGAAATTATGCAAAACTGACCAATCACCCCATAACACCGGCTGGCCAATCAGAGTGTAGGCTCTCAGACTGGTTTCACTGTTGGCAAGTTTGACAAGTTTCCAGCTAATTCTCTTCATTACCACTGGTAACAGAGAGTAACTTCCTGCACAACTAAGGCAATGCAAATGCAGCTGTAAATTTGACACTAAACACAGGAGACAGAGATGGAATATTTTAAGTTTTGTGGTGATTGAGGCTTCAAGTCTCCACAGTTTCTCACACCTGATGCCTGGAGATGAAGAAGAGGTAAAGCCACCTGTGGAGGTCGTGCCTCCCTTGGTGTAACTAGGTGTAAAAACAGGTTTGTATTTACTGGTTTGTTTCTCAAAACAATGATTTTAGCTCATTTTAGCATTAGCTGGGGTTAGCCCCTGGTCTCCCACCAACAGCTGTGATTACACCCAGTTAGTTTTTTACATCATATGTTGGTTTTTACTTTTGGGATTCATAAACCACAGCTTCTTCTGCCCCGGGGTCAGGGATTATTTCGTCACCCAGACTGGTGCTGGATATTGTTTTAACTGTTGTCGACAAGTTTGAATTTTCAGATTGTTTCAGGTCTGTGACGGTGTGCGGTCTGAGCCTCTGTCCAGTCAGACTGTGTGTAGAAATGGACTCTTTATTTTGAGCTGTTCTTCTGGTTTAGCTTGGGGGGGGCGGGGAGGGGTAGATCTAATGTTGCTGCTGTGACTTCTGTGGCTTTGGTTTTGGGGAAATTCAGTGAATGGAAGTTTGTGGTTAAGTCTGTTTGACATCCTGAATACAGGCAGAGTCTGAAGCCTTCCATTTGTTTCAGTCTGTTTCTCCTTCTACTTTAACAGTATCCACCCAGGCTCTAGGTCACAAGAAGTCATTAAAGGTGGAATTTTAAATATTATACTACATTTGTCTGACAATATCTGCTTTTCAGGAGCTGCAGCTATTATATATATATATATATATATATATATATATATGTGTGTATGTATATATACATACACACACACATATAATGAAAAATGAGAAGTCCTTGTACTTTTAAATCAACTTGTGTATAAAAAAATAATGGCACAAATCATCTCACATGAGCCCAACAATAATAATAATAAAAAAAAATACAATGATAAAAAACACTAAGTTTCTCACTCCTTTCAGCCATAGCAGAAGATGCAGCGACAAAACACTGCAGGCACTGAGACTGTGATCAGACTTTGACTAGAAAAACTGGACAGAGAGGAGAGAGAAAAACTGTCTTCCCCGTGGTTTCAGTTTGAGTTAAGTACAGACAGTGGTCCAGGTCTGTCCGTGTGCAGCTTATAGAGCCTTTCAGTGTCTCTGTGAGGTAAGAGGTTCTGTATAATTGGGTCCACTGAAAGGAAGCCTGGGGGGAGTCATTTATCCCACACTCAGTCAGCCAATGCACAGAAACACCATCACATTCTCCTCCAGAAGAACAGACCTTGAACACGCTCACTGCCTCCTGCTGGACTAAAGGCTGTAAAGGTCCATCAGGTGTTGGTTCAGTCCTCACTCAGACACACACTGTGAATCCAAAGAGGATTCTGGGAGACTGTCCTTTTCTGCCTTTACGGTTACAGACTTTAAACTTTTTTGTCATCTCTGGAGTTTTCAAAGGTCTCCGCTCTGAGGTTCTGGTCTGGCTTCCTGGTTGCGGCTGCGGCCCAGTCTGGGAAATCGGGATGAGTTCTTGGACCGTGGCGTTTTGGACACATTTTCGTTGGCCTGTGGTGTGTCACTAAAGAAGAAGGAAACACAGACAGAGAAGGACAGTGGAAGATCAGTGGGTGCTTATTGTTGCCTTGTTTACAAACCGTGGACTGTTAATAAAAACTGGGCATTACAGCATGCTTGTAACTGTGAAGCCACAGTCGCCAAACTTGAAGAGCTCTGCTTTGCATTTATATTTAACAGTTTTCTGTGTAAAAGATGTTTCACTGAACCTAATTTGTTACATTTTCCTGAACTTTTAAAGACTCTTTTCAGATATAACTGTGGGCCAACATGTTAAATACTACACTGGAACTTTGGGGGTCCACTACTGTCTGCTAGATCTGGGCCAGAGCACGGCACATTTCAGCCAACAGCAGATTTAACACAGTGATGGTCTAATGGCTGATGCCTTTCAGGGTACAGTACATATTTGTGACGGGGCCACAGATGTAGTTCACCTTGGGCTGTGGACCAATCACAGTGGTGTAAAACGTTTACAGCCTTTTAATCCTTAGAAAGAAACAGATTTAGACATTTTTTGTAATATTTGTTACATCATATTCTAACAAACTTTCTGTTATTTTAAACGTCTTCTCTTATCTTTACATTTTCCGCCATTAAAGCTCCTGATTATCTTCAGCCCTTTATTAAACACCATCAATTATTTGCCACATTTAATGTTAATTAATTTCTCAGCTCAGCTCTGACTCTCAGGGCGCCTCATTGCCGTAAAGGAAATACTCTCGGCCACTCGATGACATCATTGCCCCAGTTACCCTGACGACAGTCTTTCTCACAACATGAACCCCCTCTCGTCCCTCTCCTCCTTCTCCTCCTCCCCCGCCCCCCGACTGTGATCTGATAACCATGAGGATGAGGGAGATGAAGGAGAAACACTTGTCCGAGGCCGGAAATGAAAAAGCAGGGTGAGAGCAAATGCCTGGAGTTAAATACTTTCTTCTTGAAGCACCTTGTGTTTCCCTCTGCTTTACAATCAAACACCTCTGCCCTGAAACATTGACCTCCCAACGCTGCTCCCACTGAAGCTGGAAGATCAAGTGTTTCTCTGGCAAAAGGGATTTTCAATTAGGGGAAAAGAAGAAAAAGGGAGTAAGGAGGCGGGGAGCGGCTCCTAAATCATGTCCTGCTTCCCCCTGTCTCCTATTAACCCTGCTTTCTGAAGACTCTCTGGGCTTAGTGAACAGGTTGGTGGTTGATGTTAGATGTTAGATGTCTGATAGCAACAGGTGCTAAAAATAAATACAGCTGTAGTTTTAACGGTCTGACTGACGGTGGTGTGATTTCATCAAACTATTGCTAAGTGTACGTATACACAGAAAAACCCTCTGTTTACTACATATAGTGAAGTTCTGAAATAAACAATTCCATTGTATTTATATCAACTTAATATCCAAATCTAGACACTAACCTAGTCACGATAGCATAGCTAACCAACAGATATGTACAAAAATAGTCCCACAAATAAACTTAAACTATGCCAAAAGTACAGTATGTAAAAACAAAAATGTAGCTTCAAACCAGCAGCCCAAGGACCATGACTATGGCAGAAACAGCGTATTAGCGTATAATAAAGCTGATATGAGCTGTAAAGTTTGGAAAAGATTTCCAAAGATCCTAAAAGTGCCTGAAACAACGTGCGTAAAACCCAGCATTTAGCAGCTGCTCCTCCTGTGCCACTTATTCCCACATCTCCACAGCACCAAACAAATTCAATCATCATTTTCAGTTGGACCACACAGTGAAGCCACTGGGAGGAAAATCAGTGAAAATCAGTGTAAATTGGGGGCAGCACGCAGAGCTAAGAGAGCAGCCATCTCACTTATTTATATCAAACTGGGAGAAGAAAAACAGCTTAATGTGCTCAAATAATTAGACTTATTGATTTTTTTTAAATGCTCGCAGCAAGTGCTTATCTCATGATTTGAACTGGACTGAATGGAATAGAATAATAATAACAATAATAATACTTTATAAACCAATAACCATTTTATTAACAGATATATTAAAAAATATAAAACCATTATAATTATTATAAATAATTATTTGATTCATATTTTAACAAAAATAATACAAATGTGAAACACAATATTGTATTGCATAAACCAAATATGTTTTTTGGAATAAAAATACTTGTATTTTTTATAAAAAAATAATAACAACTATTATTTTTGTTATAAACCTCTTATGTTAATTTTTGTTTTTTCTTCAAACATTTTCCACATACCAGAGCATGTTACGCTGACTCGACTGACTGAGTTCCTCCACTGTACACCCTTTGACTGGGAACACCATCTGATCTTCTGAAAGCATCAGATGTCACACACATTTATTTATTTTTATCTTTTTTCTTTTAAATCTCATCTACAGAAAAACATCCCTGTGATCAAACAGCAACACATTCTGCCTGCTTTTTTCCTCCACCAAAACTGCTGCTAAGCTGAATCAAAGCAATGGGAACGTGTTCAAGTAACAGCATGTCAACACCACATCAACCTGACTGGTTCTGAAGTCTACCAGCGGCCAGACACTGTTTTGGAAGGATTTGAAAAGAGAAAAAAAAAAAGAAACAGCATCATTATGCAAATGGCTTGGGCCTGTAATTCCTCCTAAAACTCCACAGCCACTCCATCATCTGCTGTCCTCCTCGGCCTCCTGCTCCTTATTCTCCTCCTCCCTTCAGTTTCTCCCCATTCAGTGTCATGTCAATTTCTCTCTTTAATGGTTTCTAATTCTCTCAGAGCGTCTGCACATCTGTCACCTAACATTAAACTCTCCTCTCTCTCATATCAAGGCTTCGCCGCCGTGTCGCAATTCTGCTGCCAACATTGACAAGACAACAACAACGACAACAACGACAACAACAACATCTGATGGAATCATGGAGGTCCAGGTGATAATGGTCTGTTTACAGATGATCATAAAAACATCATTAAAGCAAATGGAGACTTGATGAATACACAGAAGGGAGATGCAAATACATCACACCCATGGATTTAATACTGGGAATATTTAGCAAAGCAGGTGCGTCCATATAGTACAATAGAAATAAAGCAAAACATCGTAATGTCATATCTTAGAAGTGGTGCCACTAAATGCTCAAACTAATCTGTTTTTAGGAAGGAATTTTAGTCTATTTATGCTGCTTTACTGCCCAACAAATTAATGGACGTTAACCGATATTATATGGTTTTCATAGTATTTATATTTTAGAAATCTGTTTTTAAATGTATTTCACCATTTCTTCAGCAAAGAAAATTAGCGTTTGGCTAACGTTTCCAAAACTAGCAGTACGATTTTGGTGTTCTTTAAGCAAACGTATGTATCAATTGTATTTAAATACGAACCGTTCTATAGTTAAGCAGTTGGATGGCTATCAAAAGGAATGTAAATGAAATCAGGTCATAGAGATGTATCTAAATATTAAACATAATACTAAAGTGCTACTTATGTTTACACACTTCTGGGTAGTATATTATTTTTACACAAATATTTCTACAATTACCTTTCCCTTTCTTTGAGCTAGACTATGTCAATCTTTCCATCTACAACCCTTTTACAAGTCTGGCACCTAATTACCCAGCACTGGTGAAAACCATGACCTCTGTAGTCAGAGTCATGGCAGCAGTGTGTGCTATGGAAGCCTTGTTGGACATTTTGCACTCAGGTATAGCAAAGGTTAACTATATTTTACAGGAGGGGAATAAAAGCCCCCACCACGGCTATTTCAAGGGCTATTTCCAATATTTCAAGGGCATTTGCCTCGGGCCCATTACCTGACCCTGAAACGTATACGAGGGTTTATTAAAAACTCTGAATAGTGATGTGAAGCGGAGCAGAAAGTGAAGTGGACGGACTTTTGCTGCGCTGACAGTGTAATATTTCACGCCATTCACAGACATGCAGTAGAATGGTTTTCTATTTCAGCAGGGAGACATGAGTAGAAGAGAGATGTGATCATTAAAGCTCACAGGACAGACTAAATAATGAGCAGTCGGGGCTTCAGAGGTTTGGACAGGCCCACAGCTCTGGTCCTTTCATTCCACTGGACTCTGAAGACTCAGCCATCAATTTACACTGACTTCTGCTGCTGGTGATGTATGGAAATTTTTCCGATTGTACTCAGTGGGGGGCCTAATTATTTTGTACGACCTTATTTTTTAATACAAAAAAAATTTGTGCTATCAAAATTTCAAACCACCCAGAGTACAAATGAGAGTCTCATCAAAAAGCCCATCTCCACTACAGCCTTCACCACTTTTGTCAGAACACTGGGACACAGTAAAGTTCTGTTTCCCCCTAAATTCTCCTTTTTAAACGTTACATCACACAACCAGAGATTGTGTGAGGACAGAGAGCATGGGTTTCACAGTGTTTTGTTCTGTTGTATTTTTAGAGTCACAATAACAGAAGATATGAACTGATCAGTTGGTAATGAGAATGAAAGGGTAAATCTGTCCTATTCTGGTAAAAAAAACTTTTCAGTCTTTGTCTTTAAAATGCTTTTTTCCCTGATTTCTGTTCTGCCTTAAAAACTACTAGAACTCTGTACTGTAGAACTGCACCAGAACTGTTGAAACAAAGTCCTAAAAAATAAACTGCTACAGTTAAATAAAGCTAATACAGAGAAAGGGAGTCACTCTGACCCACTATGTGTCATGGTGTAGTGTACTGTATATACCGCACACACTCACACACTCATGTAGCTGGAGAATGTGATTCATGGTTGAAACTGATTGTGGAACCGTTTAATTCACAAAGGGAGAACGTCAGAGTAACGTTCTCTCTGGAGGATCTGGGAAAAGACCAGCTGCCACATGCTGATGTGTTGCCATGGTAACGCTATGATCCTGGATAATTGAGACTAAGTGGACTACCTCTCCAACAGTTTCCACCATGAGTGGATACATATATATAGTAATTCATGAACACCAGATGGTTGTACAGAAGCTTTGGTGGATACATATATATAGTAATTCATGACGTAAGATCAATGGCAAAAATACTGCTTTAAGGAACACCAGATGGTTGTACAGAAGCTTCAAGCTCAGGTAAAGAATGAAGTTCTGGAGAAATCGCTGTCTGTTGTCGTCTTCATCGTCATGGTCCAATGACTGTTTGACTCCAATGATATCTCTGAACAGAGACTATGCTCCAGTTTGACAGTGTGACATGCTGCCACTGATGTGAACAAGAAAAAAAAGTGTGTTTCTGGAGAAGACCCCTGAAGACATCTGCATCACCAGAGCCTAAAACCCAATGGCCTTTGTATTGACTACATGAACTGAGCAGGCCAGTGTGTGTCCACTTACAGGCAGAAGGGCAGCAGAGACAGCAGGGTCTCTTTGCTGGGCCGTGTGGTGAACTCTGGCAACGCCTGGATCACTTTGTTCATCACCATGCGAAGGTAGCCCTGCAGCTGCTTCCTCCTCTCCTCCACAAACTTGGCATCCTGTAGAAACCCAAAGACCACCTCCTTAGTGAAGTAATTATCATTATAGTTTACATCTGACATTAACAAAATTATTATGAAAACATTTAGTGTTTTTCCATTAGCGCTGAGGAAATTTAAAGTGTTTGACTCATGTTCTGGGGCAGAGAGACAGATATTAGCTTTATGTATTATAGTTATGTGAGACATAAATATCAGAGGTTAAATGTTTGTTTTTATCTAAGAAATTAATTTGTAAACACCATATAATATGTTCAGTATCAGCTGCTAACTGCTGGTAACAGATGGCAGTGTTGTTCACAGCTTGTTTCTGCAGGAACGACTGGTTTCACGAACATTTCTTATTTCCTAAAATGTGACGGACAGTCTTTGTGTCCAACATTGTGATTGGGTCTGAGTCCAGGTCACAGGACAAAAGGTTTGGATGAGGAGGAGTCCATAACACCAGTTCTCAAAAGCAGGTCCATTAAAAAACAAAAGTCAAAGGGGATCAAACAGGATCGAACATTCAAACGTAGGAAGGCAGGAAGACGAACCACTCCACCATAAGGTGTTGCCCTCATTTAAGTACTTTTTTGGCTGCTGGTTTTCAGGATCCCTACAACAGACCACACTCCTAGTGTACGTGTAAGGTACGCTACGGAATCAAATGTCTACGTACGGACCAACTCTCTTCCCTCCCTCCCTTCCTCCTGGAAAGTAGAGAATATATACGGAGCATATGTAAATAAAACAGATCCAGTAAAAGTCACAGCAAAGTAGGACTGGGAATGTTTTCATCTGTGGCAAAATTATATTTAGGTTGATTAAAACCTAACAATAGGCAAATGAATTAGAAACTAAATGGAGACTGTTTGAAGGTGTGATATTAAACGGCTCATTTGTCACTTAATTACACTTCACTACTTTCGCCTTTAACTATTTCTCAAGGCAGGTGACATAATTAGCCACTCATCTGAACTCATCCAGTTTTTAGAACCTAGCTTTTAGCTTCAATGCTAAAACATCGTGAAATTGATACACACACACATATATATACATAGACTGTTCCCGTTCTATCTCTATTTGTTATCATTTACAGAGTAAAATGTATCTTATTATCTTTTAGCTAACAGTAACCTTTATGGGAAACTAAATTTAGCTAATTATTTTATTTCTAATTAGGCAAATTAATTTGCTTTTATGTTTTATCAGAAGCTAACATTTAGATAATCTATAGAAATAATTAGTTGTAATAATTAATACAACTGTTAAATGTTTTGCTAACATTCATGTAAATGGAGTCATCTCAATTAAGACTAATGAATAACATTAATTTAGTAGTTTTAATCAGTCACAAAGGGTTCAGATTTCATTCAATCATAGACATTTCCTCTTCAAGGAAAGTTTCAAATTTTCAAGCACTTTCTTTTTCAAAAACTCAAACTTTTCAACGGTAAAGGCAACAAACCACCGCCTTTTCCTCTGTCAAACCTGGGACATCATGTATTTAACCACAGTCAAACAGGTCTGCGGCTGCTTCTCTGGTACAGCAGTTTCACACTTTGCTGGTGTAAAGCGTCCAAACATGGAGTAAATAATGTGCAGCAGACAGGTGAGACTTATTTTCTTCCTTCTTGTGGGGAAGTAAATACTTTGTACCAAAGGAAAACTGAACTTTACTCCTCGCCGCGGCGAAATATATGCAGCAGCAGAGAGTAAATGTGATGTGTCAGATGGGGCTGCGGATGCCAGCCGTGGTTTCATGCCACGTCAACAGAGAGGAGGAACATCCTGACTGCTTTCATGGATGTTAGAGCAGTAATAACACTGAGAGACGTGGTGACACGTTCATCTTCTCCTGTGTGGACAGGGAGGGAAGTTAAAGGAAGAACAGGTGCTGGGAGCTGAAGGCAGACAAGAAATCATCCTGGCATATTGATGCAGGTAGCAGGTAATTTTTGTCGTCTTTCATCAGTCTGTTCGTGCATCTGTCACTGCACCGGTCTCATTAACTGCCACACTGATGTGACATTAGGCCTAACTCACTCTGTCATTGCTCATCACTGAGGAGAGTCAATGCACGCGTTGGTACGAGGCATCAGGGCGATGAACATCTCCACGGCCTGGTTCTGTCTTCAAAGTCCAATACATCATGATGAGACAAACTGTGTCATCTCTCATCCTATATTTTAATAAGATGTTTCATAACAGAGGGGTCAGCTGGTGAACATCGGTCTCTACAGGTCGCCCTGTGATGGGGAGTCAAGACAACGTGGAGCTGGTTTTTAGCCATTCCTATTATGACAATTTATTCCACAGAAATGCAATGCTCATGTTGCACTGTACTTGAAATTATACTTTGAGCATAAACAGTGAAAAAAATAATAAATCGTGTTCTTACATCCTACCAGTTCATAAAGCGATGCCTGTGTTGCAGATCTTCCTGTCACCTGGAAATGTGATAAACGTCATGGAGTGTAGCTGTGAGATAAGACCCATTTCCTCTGCACTGTACGAAGGTGCTTATCAGGTAAAAGTGTGTTTCACAGTTCTATGCCCTAACTGTACCATGAACGTGATCCTGAAGTGGTCCGGTGATGACAGCAAGAGAAGCTAGGAGGACTTATATACTGTAAAGAGGGCTGATAAGGAAGAGAGGGGAGCTGTCAATGGAAGAGAAGAGTAAAGTGGTCACGTGTGTTCTTCACGACCGCTCACTGACGTTATTCAAAATGACTTAACACAGTGAGAGGGGAAAAGTCACAACATCATGTTTGCAGGAACAACACTGGAGACAGCGAAAGCAAGAAAAACAGCTTAGAGAGCTATGGGATTGAAAAAAGAAGACGAAAGCAAGAAAAACAGCTTAGAGAGCCACGGGATTGAAAAAAGAAGACTCTGGGCACAGCTAAGAATATGAGCATTAGCCAAGAATGGAGTTCAAAGTCCATCAAAAGACAGCTATACATTTCACAGATCCCATTTACATAACCCTGCCCTAGAACTAACAGCAACTGAAGGGGATGAGGATTTAGTGCCACGTAGAACAACTGACCACAGGAACAGACACAATAGATTATAGGCCACATGTTTACACCAAATATAATTAGTAGATTTTAATGACGTGATTTTGAAAAGTAGAACATCCACATGTTAAAGCGAAGCTCGTTCTGTGGCTCATTTTTCTTTCTTTTTTTAG